ACATCTGATATGGGTTTCAGAAGTGGGTGTGGCAAAATGGCTCAACAGCGCCACCTATACACTTTACACGGAGTGCGCCTCAAGCTACGTTTCACGTACATGTACGAAAATTGGTACACACATGTAACACACCAATACCTACAAAAAAGTCTCTTGGTACGATATCCGAATCCCAACAGGAAGTCGGTTATTTTGAATTTTCTCTGCAAAATTTGTGTAGTTTTTGCCATTTTCAGGGGTTGTACTTTAACGAACTCCTCATAGAGATTTATTCAGATCAACACCAAAGTTGGTCAGTGTAATCTAAAGGCCTTTGCGATATTAAATTGCGAAGATCTTGAGTTTTCGTTGAAGGGCGTGTCCGTGGCGGCCTGGCAAATTTCGATGTTTCGCCATGAAAAAGGAAGTTGCTATAACTCAGACATACAATGTCCGATCTGCCCCAAATTTCATATGTTTGATAAAAGTCCTGACCTGAACAGATCTACATGCCCATATTCAGTTATAGTCATAGCGCCACCTGCTGACAACAGGAAGTGACATGTTTTACGCTGTAACGAACTACTCCTAGAAATTTAATGACATTAAAAAAAAATTTTGGTCAGTCTAATCTAAAGGCCATTGCGATGTTAAATTGTGAAGATCTTGAGTTTTCGTTAAAGGATGTGTCCATGGCGCCGTGACAAATTTCGATGTCTCGACATGGGAATAAAAGCTTTTGTAACTCAGGCATAAAATGTCCGATCTTCCCCAAACTTCAGATGTTGTATAAGAGTCCTGGCCTGAACACATCTAAAGGCCGATATTCCATAAATTTGTGTTGTTTTTGCCATTTTCAGGGGTTGTACTTTAACGACCTCCTCATAGAGATTTATTCAGATCAACACCAAAGTTGGTCAGTGTAATCTAAAGGCCTTTGCGATATTAAATTGCGAAGATCTTGAGTTTTCGTTGAAGGGCGTGTCCGTGGCGGCCTGGCAAATTTCGATGTTTCGCCATGAAAAAGGAAGTTGCTATAACTCAGACATACAATGTCCGATCTGCCCCAAATTTCATATGTTTGATAAAAGTCCTGACCTGAACAGATCTACATGCCCATATTCAGTTATAGTCATAGCGCCACCTGCTGACAACAGGAAGTGACCCAATATTCCATTATAATCATAGCGGCACCTGCTGGCAACAGGAAATGGCTTGTTTTACATTAACTTAAACATGCAATGTCTGATCTGCACCAAACTTCACATATTTGGAAAGAGTCATGGCCTGAA